TCAATTTAGTCTATAAAATGTCAGGAATAATGAAAATTCCCATTACAAATTGTGACGTCTAAACTGATTTCACCAAATTGCTTGCTGTGTCCAATTGGCTCTCCAAATGTATTATATTAAATAAGTCAAAGCAGCAAAATTTCACAGTAGAGAAGCTCAAACCAATATTTGAGAATTAATTTATCATAATTGTAAATGCAATATTAAAATAGCTGTCAGTTATTTCTGTCCATCATCTGATTATTGATCATATCATTTCATCAAGGTCAATGTAGTGCAACTTACTGAAGACAAACATGAGCCTTTTTCCCCAGTCTGTTTTGTAATTTTGATGTGACATCTTAAATCATAAACACTTTATTAACTTTATGCAAGATCTGACTTTGTGTGTCAAATTACAGACACACACTCCACATGGTGCCATTGATTCATAGTATATGGTAATCTGCCTGCAATTTGAATGAGAATGGGTGCTTCCATACAACTGTCTCACTATGAGACTCTTTAATAAACAGGCTTTTCACATTCCTTTAACCGTGTTTAGATACAAGTAAGATGCTACACACATGCATATAGATGAGTTTCACATCGAGACATTCAAGCTTGAATACCATTACACCTACTTGAAAGGGCTGCAGTATAGCCATGTAAAGATCACGTGTGCTTTGAGCTCAAGTTTTTGATTACAAGCTTCTGTAGGCAGACAAGAAACGCCACTTCTAATCAGAATCAATATGCAGAGACAAATAGGCACTCACCCACATGCTGTCACTGATACTTTACTGACAGAAAAACCTGCACACAACTACAGCGACGACAGGTAGCTATCCAAGCACAGAAAAGGAAGGGTGGATTGAAAGTATCCTTAAAACAAGAGCTTTTACACAGGGTATGAGCTGTTAGACCATAAAAAGCATTTTACTTCTCTTTTTTTTTTTTTTTTTTTAAGGCTTGAAGGCTCGATTGACTTTGCTGATGCTACATGTGAAACTGTGGTTGATGAGACAGACATTGCCAGAGATGTCAGAGGGAAAGACACAACAGGCATCTGTGAGCAGAACTAACACATCTTCAGTGTTCGACATGGAAGGAGAAACAGTATTCAAATGTTTCATCAAACAAACAGCATGGAGAATGGATTAAAGTTCAGTTTGTTTGGGTACCACTGACAGGTACATTAACAGAATATAAAACAGCAACAACTTAAAAGAAAGAAAATAGTATTCTTTTAGTCAACTAAAAATAAAATCCATAGGTTCCAGCTTCTAAATGGTGAGGATTGTATGCTTTTCTTTGCATAATCTTAAACACAATATCTTTGATTTTTGGAGTGTTGGTTGGATAAAACAGGTAATGTGAATACATCACCTTGGATTCTGGCAAATCATTACAGGCATTTTTCAAAATTGTCTGATACTATATAGAAAAAAACAATGAATTATTCAGATTTAGAATAATTTTAAGAACCACTAAATATTCATATAATATAAAATTAATTAATAAGTTAGTTTGCACTTATCATATAAACCAGATGCATTTAAAGTGGAAAAAAATCAAAAGCCACTGAGCTCCCTGTTTCGCTTAGAAATTATGAAAAATTGTATGATAGGAAATCTCACATTATAGAAAAAATGGCTTTTGTCCTTGGTAAAATATTTTTTATTTAGGTCACACTGCACCAAGACTCACTATTTTATCACTGAAATGATAGTTTTACCTTACCTGAAAAAAAAAGAAAAATTATTCAAAGGTCCTGAGAAATAACCTCTATTATGTAATGATAATCTTGGTAAACTAATGCAATGAAGAATGCAGATTGGAGCTCATCCCACTGATTTCCACTGCCATATGTTCCACTATATAATGAAGACAAAGGCTGCTTGTCTACATGTGGCTCTTATCTGTCTGTAAAGGACTACACTGGTAATAAGTGTAATAGGAGTGAGGATGAAAGAGAATGGGAGAAGAAAGATGAATGACAGTGTCCCTTGGATCAATAGTGCTGGGGAGGAAGAAAAGACAGAGCACTAAGTAAAGATGGGTGTAGAATTCTTAATTGCCTCTCACACTCTATAAGATACTCAAGTGACCATTTGCCAGAAGTCCATTTATTCTTGAGCTCTTGAGACAAATGGGTCAATATCGGCCACTGTTGCCTTTGTTTTCTTTTCCTTTGGCAACAAAAAGCAGTTTGGAGGAAAAGGTATGGGAGCAGTTGTCAGTCTGTAGAAAGGTGTACTATTTTTATTTGCTTTGTAGGACCTACAGTCACTGAGCACCACGGCCTCTACCACAGCTACTGTACACACAGTAGGTAGCCATTAAAAAATAAAGCCTCTCTCTTGTGTATTCGTGCAACATTTGCTAAGCATTTACAACATTCCTTGAGGGCAGTAGTGCATAAAAAAATTCAATAAAGAGCCTTAAATGCACATCATCTCTGAAATACCTCAGATGATCAACCTGTAAAGTAGCATGTTGCTGTTAGTGGGATTATTTTGATCACTACAGTGACTGTGGCAGACATCAGTCTAATGGAGCTGTAGGAGAAATTCATGGTGAAAAGCTCAGTTACATGTACGCAGTATTTTCTTCATTTACAAGCCATGCTAGCATAATAGTTTCAGGGATGACAGTATCAGTCAGTTCACCACTTGGGTCTAGACTGAAATATCTCAACAACTGTTTGAATGGATTGCCATGAACATCTGTGCAAATGTCTCCTAATGAGTTTGATGATCCTCTGACTTTTTCAACTTACTGTTACCGTAAGGTTAAGATTTATGGTTTCAACTGCAGGTCCTGGCAGCTACTTTGATGACCTGCTATGAAATTTGGTAATGTACATACATTTACAGTACAGTGGGTACAAAAAGTATTCAGACCCCCTTAAATTTTTCACTCTGTTATATTGCAGCCATATGCTAAGTTCATTTTTTTCCTCATTAATGTACACACAGCACCCCATATTGACAGAAAAACACAGAATTTTTGACATTTTTGCAGATTAAAAAAGAAAAACTGAAACATCACATGGTCATAAGTATTCAGACCCTTTGCTGTGACACTCATATATTTAACTTAGGTGCTGTCCATTTCTTCTGATCATCCCTGAGATGGTTCTACACCTTCATTTGAGTCCAGCTGTGTTTGATTATACTGATTGGACGTGATTAGGAAAGCCACACACCTGTCTATATAAGACCCTACAGCTCACACTGCATGTCAGAGCAAATGAGAATCATGAGGTCAAAGGAACTGCCTGAAGAGCTCAGAGACACAATTGTGGCAAGGCACAGATCTGGCCAAGGTTACAAAAAAAAATTTCTGCTGCACTTAAGGTGCCTAAGAGCACAGTGGCCTCCATAATCCTTAAATGGAAGACATTTGGGACGACCAGAACCCTTCCTAGAGCTGGCCGTCCGGCCAAACTGAGCTATCGGGGGAGAAGAGCCTTGGTGAGAGAGGTACAGAAGAACCCAAAGATGACTGTGGCTGAGCTCCAGAGATGCAGTCGGGAGATGGGAGAAAGTTGTAGAAAGTCAAAGA